TCAGGCCAGGTGGGAGCGTGGCTGTGGTAGCAGAAGCCAGTGAGGATGAATGATGATGCTCAGGGCTACATGCTTCACCCCCACTCCTGACAACTCAGCATTACATTTCTCTCTGAGACTTGGCTCAAAAGTTGGGTGAAGAGGGTGAACCCTAAATTTATTGAAATTAAATTTCTGATACACAGTAAAAGAGCTGCATAAAATGTGAGTTGAGTTATAGAAAAACACAGTTTTATTCCTTGTACTTCTGAGTATATGAGAAGAAATTTGTAAGCACTATAGCTATCAAGGAGGTGATGGGGTTCAGAGAAGGCTTCCTGGCGGAACAGCTATTTGAAATGGGGTGTAAAGAATGAATAGGAATGGGCCAGATAGACCAGGGTATTAGCAAGAGCTATAAAGTGCCAGAGGGCAGGTATGCCCTGCAGAGAGAATGGGTTTCTCAAAAACCCTGAGTACTGAAACAGCTAGAGGTGCTTAATCCAAATGTTATCAGGTCAGCATTTTTGGAGATTGAGCACACAGTGTGAAGGGGGTAGGAAAACAGAGGTAAGGAGGAGGGGACATGTTAAAATGATATGAATGAAGTTGTATGTGTTATTATTTTGCTGATGAAAAGTTGGCGGCCTTGGCTGGCCCTTGCTGATCGTCCCAGGCTCATGCCGCTCCACACGCCCCTTGTTGGCTATGTTTTGTCCAGGCTAACCTTTTATTTATTTATTTATTTTTATTTATTTTTACTTTTTATTATTTTTTAGCTGAGCCATCCTGCCACCTGTTGGCAGCTCAGTGGCTGCTCAGCTCGGGCTGGGATTCGAACCGCTGTTGCTCAGAGCTCAAACTCTTGAGCGAGCTCTTAACCAACTGAGCCACTCAGCTGGCCCCTAGGCTGACCTTTTAGATACTTGAACATGACAATCTTCATCTCACCCCAGAGCTTTTAGACCAACTATTTTTTTCTAAATTATGTTTTCCTTTCCCCTAACATATTAAAGTCATTTATACTTATAGATGATTGTAGTCCCTTAAAATGGTCACTATAGAAAGCCATATACTTATTTATGGATATTATTCTTGTGTAAACAGTTTCGACACTTATCTTCAGAATCTATGTATGAGTTATATCAGAAAACCCATTCTGTTAGCTTGTATTCAAGAATTCCTTTTGACCTAAAGTGGTAATATAATACTGAGTTATACCCTATTAGGCTTTGGATGACATTTGTCTGTTTTCAGAAACCAACTCTATCTCTAATGAAGGAACAGGAATAACTGTTAAACATCTTTAAAAGAATGAACCACATGCTCTGAAGGTGATTGAAACATGAGCCTAGAAATGTTTTAGGCAAAAGCAGTATATCCTTGGAATAAGAGAGTACTCTTCTTACGTGGTTCATTTGAATGTTTGGGAATGCTTATTAGAAAAGAAGCCTCATTATCTGAAAGTCACACCTGATGAACTCATTGGCAAGATGACTTAAAATGACCTATTTTCACTCAAATACATGGTAAGTAAAACCAAAGTACTTGCTCTTGAAACCACCCCACACACCCCCAAAGTAGTTATTCTGGTGAGATCTGAGTTTAACTACAGAACCCAGTGAGTTCAGAATTAAATCACTTAGATGATCACATCTTGATGTCACTGACTACAAAACAAATATAGCAATAATTCTTTAGCTACTCAATCACTACAGACAAATCAAAATAAGGAATTGTATCTACCTTTAGAGGGAATAACTCTTTTGAACTCTATTTCAGCTCTAACTTATGCCAGTTTCTGCTAACACATAAAGAAATCAAAGTAGAGTGATCCTAAGAAAATTAAATAGTATAATTTCACCTTTAATTAGGTAACTATGATGTTAATAATTGGACTAAATCAATATAAACAGAAGACATTTTAATATTTTATCAATTTTTATGTAGGTGATAGAAACAAAAAAACCCAAAACAATGGTACAGTACATTATTTAAAAGGAATATTCATCAAGCAACATTACTAAAACAAAGTAAAGATGATTTAATTTATTCAAGTTAATTTTAGTATCTAAGACATGGGACTGTTAGCAGAAGACCTTGTGTCCAGGGTTTTTCCTCTTGTATGGTTCATGTTTCCCTAAATTTTGCAATAGTACCTTACACATTGTGGACACTCAATGAAAACCGATGAATAAGGGGCTATGGCTTAGGCTCTTATAATGCTTTTCCAGAAAGATACTCCATGAGGGAAGGCATTTGTTTCTAAGGTCACCTATTTATCAGTTGAAGTCTTGAAGCCTCAAAATTAACAGTCCTTTTAACTTTCATTCTAGAAAGTATTTAATTGAACCTTAGAAAGCTCACTGATTTTATAATTTTCATTGGCAGCAAACTCCACATACTAACTAGACACATACACACATTTATTTTTCCCCATTTGAAATCTTTTACCTTTTAACTATTGGTAATTATTTACAATTTTATTATTGGAGAAATAAACAACATTAGTCTTCTCCATGAGATTTATTCTGTGGGTTTTTTTTTAGTGTACTTTACACTCATCTTTTTTCTTCAGAGTGCTAAGTGTCAGTGGACTTCAGTTTTCAATAAATCTCTCCAAGAATAGTTTCAAGTGACTGAGTGGCTTTGGTTCATCATTTGTATACCATACGATGGGGAATTTTTGAAGAAAGTGTATGCAGATAACTTGATAAAATGTAACAAACTGTATGTCAATTCCTTTTCTATTTCTTCATGTCAATGGAGTCTATCATATCTATCTGTCTATCTATCATCTATCTTACTATTATTATTACTGCTTCTGTATTTAAGATTCCTTGAATGAAAAAAATTAGATCAGAAATTCTCACTTAAGATATTTGAGTAAAATATTTGAGTAAAATGTTTTCAAGTATTTAACATTGTATTATAAACACCTTTTACTGACACTGAATCCATATAACTAAAAGAAAACACAGGCATTTTCAATAAATGAAAGTAAAATATAATTTTATCATTGCTATGATTCTTCAAAATAGGTTTAAAAATTTGATGCACTTGAATCTGAAAGGCTTTTGTGAAACTAATCAAACAACCTTCTAAGAAATGATTTCTTGGCAGGCGTAAGAATTTTCCCAGAGCCTTTCTTGTGGAGGGATTTCAGTGGAGGCTTTTTTAAGGGTAGGACTCTTTTTGGAGTTTGCAATGCTCTTGCTATCTCCACATGATCATTGCAGTAATACTTGTTGCTTCCTTCTGAGAGATGGATGAGCGTGGATTCTGCCAGATCCATGCACTGGGCATGGACCCAGTGCCCATCTCCATGAGAGCAATAGATCATGGCAGGTTTGTTTAGCTCGGTTGAATAAAATGGTACCCAAGTGTTGATATCCACATCACAAGTAGGGCAGCATGTGATCCAGTAGCCAGTCTCAGACTCATCTTCCTCATCATCTTCGTTATAGGTATCAAATTCATCATCACCATCAAAACTAGTTGCTTCTGCACTGAAACAAAATTCTTCTGAGTCTTCAAAGGGAGTGGAGTCCCCTGGGTCTTCCGTTGATGTCTGACTATTTGTGAATGCTTTCTGATCTTCATTCACATCGTCTTCAGCACATTTCAACATATAAAAATAGAATGTTTCTGAAACAGCCTGTTTATTGTCTCCTGGTATGCCAAGGAAAACAGTTCCATTTCCCATGTTGCTTCCAAACCATATCTTGCTGTGCTTAATATCTGGAGTCCAATCTGGGGTCTCCATCTCACGGATTTCTATCTTGTTGTCCTCAAAAGAGACAATGTTGCAGACCATTCTTTTTTGATTTTCAAGCTGATAGCCACCCACAATAACAAATTCATCATTGTTTGTTTGAGTCAGGATCGCACTAGAGACAGAGATTCCTCCTGGCAAAACTGTGCAATTTACAGCTGGGCTACCCAGGGGGAGATCAACCTTTATTCTGTATAGGTTGGCAGGGCGGATGTTATTGGCAAGTGAATGTCCTCCTAAAATATAAATGGTATCATTTCTGGCAATGGAGACATGAAAAGATAGTCCATCCTGAAGTTCCGGAAGAATGTATGATGTAGAGCACCCAAATTCAAAATCCACCAAGAAAATATGGGGCAGGCAGTCAGCAACACTGTTCCATTTTTCTGTGATTCTTTGGGCAGAAGGTATGTATGCTCGTCCACCGAAGAGAACACCCATATTTTTCCCTCGACTATATACCACGTCAATGGAATGACCATATCTGGCTTCTGGGACATCTCCTACCAAGTCTTTCTCAGTGCAGCGAAAAGTAACTTTTTTGTTGTTCTTGCACACAACAGACATGACATAAATCTTATCTGAAAGCTCATTGTTTGGTGTTTTCCCTCCATGAATAATGTATTGATACTTTTCAGACTCTAGGCTGCCTTTAAATGTGCAAGTGGCTGGGTAGCGTAGGGGAGGAAGGTAGCAGGAATCCTTAGAGAAAACTGCAGGCTTTAGTTTGAGATGGTTATGCTTCACATCAAAATGGAAAACTCCAGTGGGGCAGGACCTCTTGGGCCAGCCTTTTTGGCCAAAGAAGAAAACTTGCCCATCAAAATTCATCAGTGAGAAGCCTGGTTGAATTAAAGCTATGTTATTATTGACTGTTACCATCTGTAGTGACATATTTTCTGATGATGGGTAGGTAGATCTTTTATCTGAAAGAATTACGAAAAAAAAATTGACTTACTACGTCAGTTTATATAAATCACTGTGTTTATATCTCCTCACATGTAGAAAGCATATTTAAAAAAAAAGTTCTCCCACAAGCTTGTAGTGGGGCTGAATTAGCAAATCCCAGGCAGCTACGTAAGCAAACAGCCACAGAACCTTCCTATCTAATACAATCCAAGAAGCTGGGACATGTTTTAGACATGGACTGTCCTCCCTTAGATTTCTGGGAATTGTAGTCCTTTTTTCCTTAAAGGCCTAACCACTGACGTTAGAATGAACTACATTTCCCAGGAATACGTTCGCTATGGGATGTGTGGCTTCGATAGTTTGTGTTTGTTGCCCCGGGAGAAGACTTCTAGGATGTCTCTCTGAATAAAGACGCCACAAGTGCCAAGTGACTAGATGGGAGCCGAGGCGGAAAACTAGGGAATGGGAGGTGAGAGTGACTGACGCAGACCCAACATCCGGGTTACCGGAAGGCTGCAGCACCAGGAGAGGCTTCAGGCAGCCCTCCGCCCAGGTGTTGCCGGTGCTTATCCCGGGAACTCTTAAACTGGTGATAAACTGGTGACTTAGTTGGAAGCACAGCTGCTTCTGGCCCGAGTGGGGTTTCCTGGAAACTGCAGCCTGAAGGACGTCCGTCCGAGGGGTCGCAGCTGACCACTGCCTGGACGCTGTGGAGCTCCGCTCAGAATTGCACCTCGGAGCATCCTTAGGTGGGTGGGGGGGGAGGGGACACCGAGGTTACAAAAGCCAGAACCAAAAGATCAGTCTCAGTACCTGGAGTGCAGGGGAGCAATGACCTCATAAAGATTTTTGCCACTCCTGTATTTAGTGTTAAAAATACAGTAGCTAGACTTTGTTGAGTGCCATGTCAAAGGCCTGTAGTTTTGTCAATTGCTCTTGCTCTTGTTTTTAGGGTTCTTTTAGGGAAGCAGAGGAGATTCCTAAACACCTCTCATTTTCCCTTCGCCTCCCTCTCCCTTCTTTGTCCTCCCTCTCATTTCTTTCCACTCCCTCTCCCGTTAAAATAGAGTTCGTGGCTGATATTTCAGACTCTCTTTACAGACCAAGAAATTTGAAGTAATTTTTTTAGTAACTGTCATAAGCAGACACTAAGCAAAGAGATGCCAAGATTATTCAGGATTTAATAATTTATAATATTTTTAGAAAAGGCATTTGCTATATGAAATCAGCTTGGTAAATTTTTATTTTTTTTATCACCTACCTTAGAGACATGTCAGGAGCCTTAATGAGAAAAATACACTCCTTGTTTGCAGAGGGAAGTCCTAGAACCAAAAGTTAAAGGAAACAAAACAGCACAGATTCCTGGACTTTTAAGAGTAAATTGTTAAAATGTTTTTAAAAAACAGTATAAAACAGTGGCTAAGAGTATGGACTCTGAAGGCCGACTGGCTGTGTTTAAATCCTGGCTCTGTCATTTACTAACTACATGAACATGGGCAAGTAATTTAACCTCTCTCTGCCTCAGTTTCCTCACCTGTAAAATGAGATTACAATTTTACTTATCTCATAGATTGATGTAAGTGATGCTTAGTAAATTCATATTCTATGTAAAGGACTTAGAATAGGGCTTTGCACACGGTAAGTCATAGTTATGATTATGCTTGAATTTATCAAATGTAAGATTGTTAATACACAATTATTATAATACCTGCTGGTCATGGCAGATGACATTTATAACGGAGATGTTTAGAAGGGCTTTGGAATCTGGGAATCTGGTCAGTGGGTATAGATGGATACTTTTTTAGGCTAATGAGAATTACTTAAGCATATAGGACAGAGGTGCTGGCGGTGAGTCTAATTTAAATAACAGGAAATATTTCATTCTTTTTGTTACCCTTTCTCAAACCCCTCATCAAATATGCAGATTCTGAAGCTGGATTGTCTGAGTCCAAATCTGGGCACTAAAACTTAGTTGCTGTGTAACTATCTTGGGCGTTATTTTCTCTTTGTTCTTATCTGTAAAATGGGGATAATATTAGTACCTATTCACTGGGTTTTTTAAAGAATAAATGGAATAACATGTAAATCACATAGCACATAATAAGTATTCAATGAATGTTAGTTGATACTATAATTTATTTTTATTTCCCTTGCAAAGGTTCCTTGGACCATATAGGATCCAAGGTCAGTCTAATCAGATGTTGGTGGAGCCTTTTGCCTTGAAGCACTTCTGTGGATTAGATGTAATTAATTGCTAAATATTCCCTTTTTATGATTAGGTTTAGTTTACTTGGGAGATCCCGCAAGGCATTATATTTTATTAATTATCTTGTGGGTTATTACACCAAGTGAGAAGTGGTGAATGAGACAGACTATCACTAAAGTTACGAAAGCCAGCCTCTCTCTTCCTCAGACCATTGTGGTTTGTAGGTTCAGCAACTTGCCCTGCTTATGAAACACCATGGGCAAGTATTTTCTTTGTTCACGGCCTAACCGAGTAGACATAGGAGAAGGCATCTATGCAACTGAAGGAACTAAAAGGAAATACTGTTGACCCTCAATTCAGTAAATGAAAACCATGAGTGATTACACTCAGCATGCTATGTGGTGATTGTCAGAGAGTTGCCCACTTTTGGATGGAATAAGCACCGAAGCCAAAGCCTACTTGTTTTAAACACTATGAAGACTGTTATTGTCTTCATAAAGAAGGGGTATAAAACAAGCCAGCCAGTGGTAATGGATTCCAGATCCCAAAGGGTGAACATATACCAAGCACACTTGGTTTTAAACAGCAGCTTAAAAAAAATATTTTCATGGTAGCCTGTTGGCTTCATTTTAAGGTTGTCACTGGGATTGTGGCTTCTCATAAATGAAAACATGATTATTGTAGATTAGACAGAAGCATTTTCTTGGGCAAGACATAAGGAATACTACCCATTTTCTGTAGCTTAGTTTTGGTGCCTAAAGATTTCTGACCTGTTTTCCCTTTGATGCCTTGCTGTTGGCACACATCATAATTTCAGGGCCCTAAAAACAGAGCTAAAGTTTATTACTGTTGATTATCTCCTCTTGTAACACAGTTCAAATATTTGTGTGTTTAATTTTTAGGTTACCCATTTTAAACCATGACCAGATGACTTATGTATTTAAAGAATAAACAGGAACACAAAGTGTTTTTATATTATTTTGCATTATTTATTTAGTTTTTGAAATTTCGCTTTATTAAATATATTTTCACTGTAGTAGACTATTATATATTTTCCATGGTTTTAATATGACTATATTAGTCACATCTTTTATTGTAAGAGCTTTTAAAAGGTTATACTAGAACCAAAATAATCTACTTTCTTTAAATAGGTTAGATAAAAACAGGCAGATTTTGAAAAAGAAGACACTGTTCTTCAACTGAAGGAAGTTTCAAAGTCAACACATTGAAGATTCTTTTTAAAAGACAGAAATATAGGCCCAATAAATTTATACAATTTTCCCAACCCCATGCTAACTTTCCTCAGCAGGGAGATTTTCATTTATGTACTGTGAAGTGAGGGCATAGTTGAAAATCAAAAGAGGACTAATAGTGTGAGGTCTGGATTTGTAGTTTCTTGTGTCTGAACTGACTCTTTTTCCCTCCAAAGTATAGTCCTGTCCTCTGAAGCATGGAAACTTACTGTTTGGTGCTGCCCATGTTTTCCTGATTGCTCCCAAATAGCAGGTAACCCCATGAAACTGCAGCCACTTAGTGCCTGAATTAGCCATACCTTGCATGGCTAACCAGGCTTGAGGCATACAGTCTTTGATTTTTTGCTGGCAGCAAAACCAGAATTAGGTCTTCCTTCTGACACTTATGCCAGAGAAGCATTTATGGACTAAAATTAATACATGAGCACTGATGTCACAGGAATTCAATCCTTGCAGCACCTTGAGACTGGAAAGCCCCATAGTTTCCAAATTCTACATCATCCCTTCCCCATCTGGACACCCAGTCCACCTGCTAACTATCATGCTGCCGAAGGGGCCATTGTCTTTCCCTTAAAGTTGACAAGCATAGGCGCCCATCTTTTAGCTTTGGTAGAAATGAAGGTATTGGACCTACCTGAAGGCCAGAGGGAATGCTCCCCCTCTTTGAATCTTTGCCAGGTATTAAATGTCAGCACTTGGGGAAGAGTCACTGACTGCCCACTCTGACCGTGGCAAGCAGAGACTGATGGTAGAGAGTGTGTATGTGTGTGTCTACAGATGTTCCAGTGAACACTGATCTAACGGGAGTAACTGACTGTGACCTTTTTTTTTTTTTCTTTAGATGGTTGAGGGAGATACTCACTAGGGTGTACCCTCAAGATTTAACTATTTCCTTACTGGCAAACAGTGCAAACACAGTCCACTCTTCATCTGTAAAGACAAAAGAAAAATCTGGTTGAAACCTAATTTATATTTTTATTACAATTTTTTTAGAAAAACACAGAAGAAAATGAATATAATTGCTATGATTTAAATATATCCTATTATTGATCAAATGGGAAATTATTTTTCCTAAAGCAGAGACCACTAATACCAATGTCAATCATTTTGACTTTGAATTACTTCCTCAATGGTCTCATTTTCTTTAATGCAAGGCTCAGAAGGTGTTCTAATTATTGGAAGCCTACTACCAACTTTATGTCAGGGACCTGCTTTGTAATATTGGATGGTGGAATGATTAAGATGGTGGGCTTTGGAGTCAAGGCTGGCCTGGTTTTCTCTGCCAGCTCTGCCATTTTCCAGGTGGAGTCAAGCTCTAAGCCTCAGTTTCCCCATCTCTGAAATGGGGATAATAGAAATATTTCCCTCAAAAGATTGTTGCAAAAGATTAAATGAGATGATCTTTAGAGTGCTTAGCCAAGGAAGGTATTCCACAGTGGTCTTAATAATAAAAAGTACCGTATACCAGTAGCTTCTCCGACTCCCCTCCCAAAATGTAACAGTCGAAGAATAAACCAAAGGGGGCAAGAGTTGACTTAATTTTTTAAAAGACTTTATTTTTTAGAGAAGTTCTAGGTTGACAACGAAATTGAGTGGAAGTTACAGAGCTTTCTCATATACCTCCTGTGCTGCTCATGCATAGCCTCCCCCATTATCAACACCCTTCACCCAAGGTACATTTGGTAACATTGATGAACCTACATTGACATGTTATCCAAAGTCCATAGTTTGCATTAAGGTTCACTCTTGGTGTTGTGTAGTCTATGGATTTAGACAAATGTAAAATGACATATCTCTACTATTATCGTCTCATACAGAATAGATTCAGTGCCCTAAAAATACTCTGTGCTCTGCGTCTTCATCCCTCCCTTCCTTCTCCCTCCTCCCTAACTCCTGGCAACCACCTATCTTTCTACTGCTTCCATAGTTTTACCCTTTCCAGAATGTCATACACAGGCATCCCTTGGAGATATTGCAGTTTTAGTTCCAGACAGCCATACTAAAGCAAGT